ATAATAATAATAGCCAATGCACAGCTTTATTCAAAGTGAACCAACCTAATTTGCATTCCTACAGAGTTAATGTGTTAAATTTCACATTAATAATTGTTCACTCTTAAATGCATTGCCTGCACAAGAAATACTCTTCAAACTGAATGAATTTATCCATATATAACATTTAATGTTAACAATAAGTATAATCAGATCATTCATAATATAAATATATCTTATACTTTCAAAGTCGGAGGAATGTAAGCATTGAGATAAGGAAATACTAGATTCATTGTACCACTTCCAGTTATTATCAGCTCAATAAAAAAATTATACACTTTTCTTAATCCACAGATGTTTGTTAAATGCATAATATTCGAGGCTAATTGTAGCTTGAATCATTTTCTCGATATACAGGGCAATAATATACCGCGAGCATTAATCCGAGCAAGTGCGTGATAACTTTCACAATGTGAAATGTTGACAATTAAATAAACTTATAAAATGAAAGAACTACGAGATTTCCAACTAAAATGATAGGAGCATTTATACGCGATACATGTATAACTGCGAAAATGCAAAACCAAAATAAAATGTAAACAACAACACGTGTTCATATGCGCTGTTTCAAAGACTCAGGGTCAAACAAGCAAAAGAAGTCGTATTTCGTGGTTGCCTTCACCAGTGAAGGTTGCACTTTTGTCACGTGATCTCGTACGACGTCCCTGCCTCGTGCTTCGTGTACCAGCAGTATGCCTAGCGAGCATCGCTCAGTACTCGTTGATCAATCGTATGTTCATTTAATCACCTTAGGTTACGATGCAAGTGAATCTACTAAAGATTATTGATGATTTGCAGCAAGTATTAAAAGGTGGAAAACCTGTTAAAGGTGCTTTACGCAGAGCTAAAAAGATTTTCTACGCCTTCACTGACGCAGAAAGCCTGGAAAGATCGCAGTTTTACGACCGAGAAAATTCTAAAATGCTTCTGAAAAATGACCCGTTCACCTTCGAATTTGTTCGTAGGCAGAACATGAGACTCAACAAGATGACTGAAAAGTCACGGTCTGCCGCTTCTTCAAGCAAAAAAGATGCTGTACCCCGCAATCTACTTGATGAAGGGTGGAAAACACCTTCAAAAATTGCTAAGTTGTTCCCGGATCCGGACTCTGAACCAAGGAAATCCCCACTCAAGACGAAGTCTGCTCCTGTGCTTGTCACAGATATTGCTACCAAAAATAATTTTGATGTGTGGTCTGCTGTTCCCCCTTGTCGAGCCGGAAACATCGCACTTACCCTTAGAAGCTCGTTGGTCCACTTTTGAAAACACTCCCTGTGTTCCGATACTGATGTGCACTTGTGAATTATGCGTACCGTAAAGTCTCGTGTAGAAGTGGAATTAAAGGTGTAGAGGATTTGTGCAGTTTTTGAGTTATTATTTGTTTAGGCAGGTTCGAATAGTTTCTGATCAATGTCATTTTGTTTCTCAAAAGTTTTTTAAACGAAAACATAAGCCCAGGTATATAGTTGACGCTGGATTCCAGTTGCTGTCATTAATTACTCTAAATTAGCTGAAGATTTTACAAAACAACTGCCTAACAGAATTCTGGTTCATTTTAAACAGTCTATATATTAAACTTTGTTATTATTCTGGCAAGGATGCTAAAATTTATGAGATGAGCATTCAGAATTGATTTCCGGTTTTAGTGTTCGTTATGCAACTCAACTTACGTAATAATTTTTAATATCATATCGATGCACAATAGCAAAATGCCTAGGAAAAATCTAATAGCAAAATATTACGTAAAACTTAACGAAAACAAGTTTCGGTGTAAGTTTTGCTTCAGATCTACATGTGGCGCATATTACGCGAGAAAGAAACATTTATTACTGTATCATACAGACCAGCGATTACCAGCATCATGGGAACCACTGGCAAGTATCGTTTTCTATCTAGCGGAATGTGAATCTTCATTATTAAAAAAAAGAGCAACTAAAGTGAATGAATCTTGTGATTTTTTAAGTATTTTCACTGTTTATGTAATTTTACGTTCGATTTTTAATTTTTTATATGTTTTTTAAAACGTTTATTACGTGCTCCGCCATGAGGCACTTAACCGAAAGATAAGGATGCTCTGTGAATGACTTAAGAGAAACTGGCTCAGATGGGAAAAACCACTGAAACACCCATGCAGCCAGCCCGTTCGCCGGAACCGAACTGCAAGCGTAGCAAATGTTGATGTTTTATGCGTTAACTTTCCAGCACGCCTGCTTCGCCATTTTGCATGAGCACGTGCGCGACGACGTCTGTTATTTTACGGTTTTCGTCACGAAAAACGGCAGAAATGAGTGAATATTTATAATGAATTTGTTAAGAAATAAAAATTAAGCTTATTATTGTAAAACACATATGATATAATTGAAATTATTTTTAAATGTTTATATTAGTCAGATGGAAAGGCAATGATATATTTCATTATAGAAAATTTGAAATTTTTTATTTAATAACTATATTTTAAAATCCAAGTTAGTTTTAATACTCATCAAAGGCAAGTATAGACAAATAAAAACGAAACTGCACTCACCTTGGCAGGAAAAAAACGTAAGATTAGCATTAGTTACTTCTGCAAGGAAATTTACTTCTTACTGGTTACAAAAACTAATTTTAATACTTTTATTTACTTCTAAAAATAGAAATAAAAGAAAGAATAGTAATAATAGAAATAGAATACAGTAGAGTAAAAATAGAAAAACAGAATTCTAGGTTCTTTAATGTTCGAAGTTCACATTGCATTGCATGCAGATAATTTCGGTAATAGAATGTCGTTTGCACTTGTATTTAAGGCATGTCTTGCATTTCATAGATGCTGAAGATCTCCTTTTTTCTCTAACAGTGCAAACCGCATGTTCTTCGTTTCGATGAGTATTGCTCTGGCACTTTATCATTAGAAGTACATAATTATGACTTAGAAATGTTGAAATGGAAGGTATTGTTTGGATTTTGACATGCCAATAAAGATGAACTTTCATAAGACCAATAGATAAATTCTTCAGAAAGATCCTTCGGGATGGTGCTGTGTTAGCTGGCTTGAGGTAACAGTGCGGCAGTCCCTCTCTCTTGAGTACTTGCCATTTAGCACAAGCGTATTTATATAAATTATTTTAAAAAATGATCCTATTTCATCCTCTATATACTTGGCATGGTGTTTTAGCCCAGGTAATGCTTTCACAATATTTATCTTTTCTGTCTTTGAGCAGTTTGCATACTTCACTTTTTTGCCACTTAGAATATTTATCATTACCAACATAGAACCATCATCATTTCTTTTTTATATCATTATTATCCAAAATATTGTTAAGATTCACTTTAGATATTATTTATCTTGATATTTTTTTCGCTCAAATCACTATTATTCTCACAGCCAAAGGTTTCCTTATCTTCTTTTTCTTCATCAGATAATTCTGCAAGAATGTGAGCAAAATCAGCTGGTCGCGCAAATTCTTTTTGTCATGGAAACTGATATAAAAATTATAGAGTAGAATTTGTTCAAATTAAAATAATACACCCCAATTAATTACAAAATATTTGAGAAAAAATAATTTTTGAATTTTTACCCACGACCACACGTGTGTCGTAACTTTTACGAAGAAGCTGCCGCATAGCACAAAAGCCCAGTTAAAAAAAAGTCATATGGCTTGCTGTTGGCCCATTCCATGATGTAGGGAAGGGTTGAAAGGAGGAATAGATATCACCTTTAGACGTCTCGGCTGCGATATGTGAAAAATCTGCATTAAAAACAGAATTTGTCGTAAACTTTGCACATAGCGCGTGTGCTGGAAGGTTAAACGCCAAGCGTATTTTGCGTGGCCTAAAGCCAGTTTCTTGGAACCAGTGTGTTAGTTTAAAAATCAACAGGGAACTGTTGAATTTCTCTTATAATGCTGTATCCTTGATGATAATTCTTCAGCTATTTATCAATTTTATTATTCCTATCATATATAGTTTGTTCTGCATGTAGATATCTACCTTTCATCAAAATAAATCTTTCGTTCTGTTAATGAGATTTGGCACATTTTTGAATTGCTTAAAGTTTTTCTCAGTGGGATAGAGATTGAAATCTTTGTGGCTGTATAATTTAGTATTTTGTCTGTGTGCAGCTTAGTTTATCTGAAACTGTTGCATTAAATGACAAACAAAACAGTAAAAAAGAAAAAGAAAAAAACTCAATTTTCCTGTAAGATCACAGAGTTGATCTTTGAAAGGTATTTAAACATACTTTATTCCTAATTATTAAGTATGTTGAAAATTCAGTATATCGGAGAGATATTTATGAGGAATACATAAAATTGCTTATATAGTGGTATTTGTCTATTCTAAGATATCTGAGTAGAGTAAAGTAATATGTTTTCATGAGAGAAATTAGAGAAAGACAGAGTGTGTAAAATTAGCATTTTGGATCGTTATTCTCTGTAGATTGTAATCCTATTTCTTTAAATTTAATGCTTAGAATATTTTGTGATATTTTGGGTAGCAGAAATTTTAAATCAATTTAAAAATCACCAGGCAATAAATAAAATTATTGCCTGTAATATTTGCATAAAATTCCATTTAACAAGAAACAGAGGAATTTGTAGGTTATACTGCAGGAAGTGTAAAGTAAGAATGTCCTAAACTAAAAAATGTCCAACTCAAATGATTGCAAAATAGTAATAATAATAAGGTAAACCGAGATTGTTTGCTTCACTCACTTCTTTAAAGAGATTTTTGTGGAAGCTGATAAAAACAGTTGGTATCTAGAATGTGTACTCAATAACTTAGTTATTGAGTTCTTTTGAAATATTCTGAAGAAAAAGTAAATCTGTATTTCTTTTTTATGTAATTTTCATCCCTATTTTTGCAGTTTGAGAATTATCTTTGAGTTTATATTGAGTTTGAGAATTAAATTTAGTTTATGAAAAGAAAATTCTGGTTCCCAGAGTGATTGTAAAACTTTAAGTAATTATGTGTTTTGCTGTTTTCGTATTTTTAGGTTAAAAGAAAATTGGATATGTTACAAGCTGGCCCATCAAATAGTGACAACAAGAAATTTCGAGGAAGATCCTATCTGTATAGAGGTATGCATAATTTTTTCTTTTAAAAAAAACAAAAAAATTATTGCACATTTAAATATAGCAAATTTTTGTTTTTTATAACATAACATACAGAAATTAATCACAGGATGATCTTGAGATTCCTATTTAAGTAATGCTTATCATGAGTATTTCATCAGAAATTTAATGTATATTGCTTTAATTTTAGAAAGAAATCTATATATTTGGAACGAAATGAATTGTTTTAAAAATTAAAAAAACCAATCATATTTCGTTTTAAGTACATTATGTATTATAAGCAACGTATTAACTCAAGTAATATATACCACTAGACATATATAAAGGAGGCCAGGAAAAACCTAAATTGGGGTAAATGAATTTGTTTCCCTGTCATCTTGAGTTATCAGTTATTTTCTTTATTTTTTTAATGATTTTAAAACAAATTATTTTCGTAACAGATTCTTAATAATTTTTGTTAAATAAAAGAAGCTATATCTTAACCCCTTTCTTAACTTTATTCAATAATTGTATTTCATCCCCTACTCCAAGACATAATATTTTGCCAGGCTGTGGTGCTTCTAAGGTTTTGAATAAAATCCCAATTCCAGCCAGAGTCCCAAATTATTAAACCTTCGATAACCTACTGCAGGAGTCTCCAACTTTTTTGTCCCTAAGAGCGCATTCTAGAATATCTGTTGGACGGTGTGCACCATTTACTTTTTCAAGGTGAATATATAGTTGGATAGAGTTAATAATGCATGTGCATAAAAACAGAGATCGTTCGCATTTTGCTTTGTGCTGGTATCTGTGTTGGATGCAATTTCTATTTTATTAACAGTGAGAAAACTTTCACATAGAATTTTATTGAAAAGTAAAACATTTTTATTGTGATTGCACAGCGACGGCCACACATTAAACGATCAGCAGGTGCCATGATACCCTCGGGCATAGGGTTGGAAACCTCTGACCTACTGTATAATTCCAGTGTAATGAATTTTCTCTTAAATATATTAACAGGAATTTGTCTGTCAATGTAAGATTTCTTTCAATAGTAAGTAAAAATGATACTGATGCCAACTACTGAATATCTACCTCACTTTCTTTCCTCATTTTCCTTATTTTTCTCATCATTCCTGACAGTCTTTCATTTAGCTGCAGTGCTTCTAATTTTATAAAGCTCTGTCGTACTTGAATAACTGTCCATCAAAATCATTGTTCAGTTCTTTTGGTCATTTGTAGATTCTTTCATTTTTTCTTAACCTTTTTTTGGGTTGAGGCATATATGTACTATGCATTAACTACATTAAGTAAAGCTCAAGGAATTTTAATCAATTTTTAGAAACTAAAAATTTACTGAATAACTCTTTCGCATCGAAGTTGCCCCAAGCACCCAAGCATTCAGACATCGGCTGGACGCCCGAAACGCCTGAATAATTTCCTACCCAGTGCTTTCCCCATCACGTTACTGCATTACTCATTGCTTTCAGGTGTTGTTAAATCACACGTCAATCATTCTTTTGAAGCTACTAAAAGTAGCTTCCTTGTTTCCTTTGTTCCTTCCCTTCCTTTGTTTACTGTTAGTGTTTAGCTTTTGATGCCCGAAGTTGCAGTCCCGTCCCAAGGGGGAACTTCACGCAGTGTCAAAGCGTCTAAGAAAGAAGTTCTCGCTTTACTTAAGTAAGGCTATTGTTAGCGCTGTAGTATTCAACTTGTCATGGGGGAAGGAAAAGCATTCCAGGAGAAATTCTTAGATACGGGCGTTTTCGATGTTTGGGGAATTGAGATTTTGCCCTCTCTCGATGCGAAAGAGTTAAAATAGAGTGGTATGTGGCAGAACGTATCGCATGTTTTTTTCTTTACTTTCCTGCCTGAATACTTATTTAAATAGCTAAAATGAATAGAAAATTAAAGCCTGTAGCCATTGGCAAATCTAATTCTGTTTTCACTTAATTTGCCTATTTTTATCTTTTGCAGTATTTGCTTTTATTTTATTTTATTTTAGTCCAGTCTAATTTTTTTCCCGTCCCTTTGCCTAGTATATTTTAGAGCTTGAACTATTAGTTGATTTCATCATATTCTGTGATATTTCATTATCATGATAGTTCTCTTACTTCAGTGCCATGGCTCTCATCTATTTTAGTTGGTTTTTGTGATTTCTGTTCTTTTACATTACAGATTTTATTTTTAAACTTCTAGGTTTACTTTGTCTTATTTTCCACAATCAAGTATTTTTCATGTATTAATTTTTCGCTGTGCGTTAAATTATCATGTTATATGCCATATTTCTCCTATATTTTTTCATAGATTTGTGGAAAATTATGGATTAAATAAAGTTTGCATCTCTGAAAATATCTTATGTGAAAATTGATCACTTTCGCAGTTTATGTTATGGCATTGCTACCAATTAGGGAAACTTTTTAATGCTTATGTTTTTCACACATTACCCATTAATTAAACATAAAAAATAAATATATAACATTTATTAATATAATTTTTCATCAAGACATTCCTAGAACATTTTGCATAATGCAATATCAGTGCATTGTTGTTGAAACCTGAGCTGTAAAATATTGTTCTGTAAAAAAATGTCCCCAATTTCATCTTAGTAATTTGTAAAATGAAGTATAATTATTAAATTAGGTAAAAATATATTTGCTGGTGCCCATTGGCGAAAATTGGTGATTTTTGGTGGTACATGGTTACTGAGTTTTTGTGCAATTCTTTGACTTGTTATTTTCGTTTTGTGTGTCGCTACACAAATACGAAATAACAAGTCAAGGAATTGCACAAACTTGATATCCATCGACCTATTTTCACTTTAAAAAACATCAGAGATTTTCACAAATTTGGCATTGCGCACTCCCTTGACTTTATCCATGTACACATCGATCTATTTTCACTTAAATAGTCAAAGGAGCACCCAATTCTACATTAGAACCAAACCAAAAATACATAATCTCAATAAACTACATTTTAAATCAAACAATATAATAACATAAAAAGGACATTTATCATGCATCTAAGCACTACACAAAGCAAATATCCACTTACCTTATGTAGAAATTTCTGTGGCACACAAAGTTCCTTAACAGCATCCCCAAACTTCCTAAAATTATCTGAACTAGAATTCGTATATCGGCATCACCACATAAATTCAAAAAATAAGAGTAAAAAATATCCTCCGTAGTGCTGGTATCCTCCGATGTTCAACTGTATGCATTTCCATCCTACAAACAGGACACTTATAATGGCTACTGAGTAAACCTTCATTTGCACACCTGTCAATTAATGCTCTTTCCCTCTTTTGCTCCAAATCCTACAGAAACATCAAATTAATCTTACCACATTCAGCCATTCTACCATCTAAACCACAAAAGAAGCAATGTACTTCCTAACCAACACATACCACAAGCCCTTACAAATCTTTTTCCCATTATTCAAATTTAGGGCAATCACGCAACTGATTACATCATAATAGGGTTTCCATAACATTCAACTTCTCAGGTTACCATACATAAAAGAACAACTTTGCAATAATACAAGTGGCACCCTTCAATCTACTCTTACCTTAATTTGAATCATGCATCTGAAATGTGTATGCTAGTAAGTGAAGATTTTGAGCTGTGTGATAAATTATGTATATTTTTAGTTTTTGAGAAATTAAATCTAATTTTTACTTTTATAAGATTAATTTGTAATTCCAAGATTTCTTTAGATGAGAATTCGGGAAGTGAAGTATGACTAAGATTTTGCCACAGAGGTGGCAAGGTCTTGAATTAGTGACTGATTAAGGATTAAGAAAACTAGAGGAGGTCTGACGTTTAGCTGACTTGTACACTTAGCTGACAGGACATTTAACGGGCAAGACATTTAGCTGACTGGATATTTAGCCGGCAGTTGGTTTGACTGACATATTTAGCAGACAACATGTTTAGCTGACAGGAGATACATTTAGGCAAAAACATGCCACATTATTTTAGAAAAATTTGTCCATTATGTATCCAAAAATATATAGTACTTCTGTAAATTACAGAATTGTTCAAGTTGTACATTAGTTCACTTTTTAGGTTATTTTTTCATTCAGCAAAATTTGTTGTTCAATTCTTAAGGATCCCATCTCTGTTTTTAAGTGCATAATTTAGCATGTTGGCCAAATCATACCTGCCAACTTTTACGAATTTTTCGTAATTTTTACGAAAATGCGTTTGTCTTTACGATTTTACGATCGTAATCCATTTTTTTATGATTTTTTCCTTTTTCAAGTGTTTTTAGTGATTTTTGGTCGAAATTTTAGAATTTTTCGCCAATTCAGCGATTTTCGCCAATTGCATCGTGTTTTACTGCCAACTACCGACTACTTCGAATCCAGTAACCTGCGGTTTCTCCCAACTCGCTGCTTAACCAGCCAATACAATGCGCTGAACTTGTTTCTCCCACACTTTTCTTTGTGGGCGGCAGATTATTTTTTTCGCATTCGCTTCAGCAGCAAGGGAATTACTCAGCTCGGACTCAGTGAGCGTGGATTGTCGCATTCTGTTTTTTTTTTTCTTTTTTCTTTTTTTTGTTTTTGTTTGCACGTGCTACGAATTTTCTTAATACGTCGTTGTTACGAAATGAGTTAAAAAAATCCGTATTCGCAATAGTTTCGGCCTGCCTACAAAGCCGAATTTTCAACAATTAAAGAATCCTTCAAAGGAAATAACTATGCATTTTTGCAACGTGTGCGCCTTCATAATAAGTTACGGTGGAAGAAGCGACATAGCATGTTAAGTCTAAAAATCATGAAGTTAATGCTTCGGCTTCGACAACGTCAAAGAAAGTGGATGATTTTTTTTCAAATTCGGCTACGAATTCGGATGCCGATGTCATTTTGGCAGAGTGTTTGTTTACTGCATTCCTCATCGAACACAACGTGCCGCTAAGCGCTGCCGATCATGCCGGTCAACTTTTCAGATGGATGTTTCATCTTTTGACAAATTGAAAATTCATCTTTTCAAAAGATTCGTTTTTTTATTGATAAATTT